TGTATCATTAGCCAAAAGAAACAGAAACGGAGATTGGAGACAGACTGCTGCGGAGGGTAATGTAGCATTAGATAATTGTGAATTATTTGCAAAAATTTTAAGCCTCCTACCTTGCTCCGAGTCTTGGGTACTGCCAGAAACATTAAACAGCCAACTTTGGACTCCTTGTAATTGAGCCAAAGCGGAAATATCAGCTGTGGCCCCCTTTTCATTGGAAATCAACCATTGAAACCAAGACCAACCTGCTCCTATAGAGGAATTATTGTTGGAAGAATTATACAAGTATCTTTTAAGAGAGGGGGAAAGGGAGAAACCTTTAGCGACCTGATGTTTCTCCCAAGAATGATCTTGGCAAGGCGTGAATATTGGAGGGAAGCCATACTCAGGGGTGCAATAAGGAGAAGCCTTAAAATGAGTGGCATTAGAGGTCTGATTAGAAGGAGACAACGGAATTAACACCTGGGAAGTAATGGCCAAAGTGGTAATATTAAGCTCAGAAGTATTTGTCGGGACTCTTCTTGTCAGGCGTTCTGGAACCCACACTGGCTCCGTCCGGTCCCAGCCCCCGGCGGCGCTCCGCTTTTTCCGCAGCGTGAGCCCGCTCCGCAGCAGTGCAGGCAGGTCCTTCAGCCGCGGCCGCAGCGACGCCGGCGGCTGCTCGCGCTCCGGCTCGCGGGCGCTGGGACTGCGGCGCAGAGCGCTGTCCGCCGCCACCACCGCCGCGGCCAGGGCCGGGTTCTCGCATGGCGGCTGCATCTTGACTGAGCCCACCGCCATCCTCATGCCCAGACCGCGGCCGTGGCCCCGGCAGCTTCTCTCAAAAACATCTGCAAAGTGCTCTGCTTTACTTTAAGTCCTTTTGAACGTAACAACCCATCTAGGGCCAACAAAATTGGGCTTGAAGAAGTAGCGCCCATAATGTTTTTAGAGCTATAAAGAAAGTGAAAGTACAAAAATCCCCGCTCTCTTCCTTTTACAGGGGAGCGTTCCGTTCTATGAATTCCCCGCTCTCTTCCTTTTACAGGGGAGCGTCCCTTTTTATGAATTCCCCGCTCTCTCTTTCTTTACCGAGGAGCATCCCGCTATTAGCTTGCGGATTCCCACTTTACCTGGGAACTTACCGGTGCACCACCCTGACTGCTGAAAGTTCTGGATCCTGGGTTCGAGGAATATAATTCCCCGTCCGGGCCACCAACTGTCGCGACCCCTCGCCAGCAAGGGAAAAACATGACACAGGATTCTTCTTTCAGCAGTTTATTCAGGCCTTGATTCAAGTATCATCTTCTAGCGACCCCCCGCCGAGCGCCCAAGCACAGCCTAATAAAGCCTCCCGCATACCAATCCCAAGCTGCCACGTGGATCTTTCTCATAGGGTGGTAAGGGATTGCGCGCCAATTCTCCATAAAAGGAGTTGTTTATCACAGGCCACAGTGGAAGCTGGCGCCATCTTCTAATGGCGGCCACGGTCTATAGGAACGGCTCACCACAGAATATGTCTGAGTGTAGCCCAGACAGGAATTCTGCAGCTGTCCCAAACTCTTTTCTCCATCTCCACGCATCCAAGGCAGATCGGGATTAGGGATACTGTCTTCTCACACCAATTGCTCTCTGAGCCCAGACAGAAAAATGGGAAGCAGCTTCAGCAGAACCCAACATGCCTGCTCTGTACTGAAAGGTGATTGAGAGCTGCCTAGGCCGGGAAACCTCTCACTCGAGTCTTGAAGAGTGGCAGCTGCACTAGTTGCATTTAAATAGCTGTCAGGTGCCCACATCACACTCTAGAAAGAAAGAGAGAGAAAAATGAACCTCAGACAGATGTGGGGTGCATGGAGAGGCACTTACTTTGGTGTAGGTCTTGATGGGGACTTCCATTCTCTTACAGCTGTTTACCGGTGACTGTTGAGGGCTGTGGCCCTCAACCCACCCAGGTGACGAGTCCTTGCTTCCCCGAATGTTGAAGTATAACACAAGAGAAGCATGCTGAGGCAAGTGTAGAGTGGAAAGTAGAAGGCTTTATTAAAGGACAGTATAAAAGACTTCTCCCCAGAGGAAAAAGGGGACCTGAAAGGTGGAATCAGTGAAAGAGGGAGGTCTTCCCTCTTTTATAGCTAAGGTCTTCTTTTAGCTTTCCCACACTCCTGTCCTTTGTTTCCCTTTATCTTGAAGAGACAGAATGCAGGTGGGAAGGCCTAAAAGGTGGGAGACAGGTGGACTGGTAGAGTAATCTGGGCAGGAAAGGCCTGGGGCGGTTTTTGATTAGCACTTCCCTGTTTGCTGGTAGATGTTTTATTAACAGTTCCTTAGGATGGATTCTGAACTTTGGGGACATTTCAATTTCTCCAAGTGCTGCCCTGGTTTCCTGGACACCATTCTCAATAATGGCCTCCATTTTATTTATCTTACTTGATATTAGACCTGATTTACTTAACTACACTATCTATCCTCAAATCTGGCTTTAATATGATACCACACGTGGAAAATTCCAATCCTAACCTTGTGTGGTGGGTTGTAGTCAAAATACAGGTGCACTAAAAATATTGTATAAATCACCTTTATGCTGTATGTATAAAGTGTGTATTAGACATAAATGAGTTTTTTGTTGAGATTTGGGTCTCATTCTAAACATATCCTTTATGTATATGAATATTTAAAAATACAAAAAAATTGAAACTTGAAATACTTCTGGTTTCAAGAACCAGATAAGAGATATTTAATGTATACATGGTGTGTGTCTGCCTGGAATTACAATCTTAGTCTAGATAAGGCAGATCAGACCCTAGTCACAACATCAATAGTAACTATCCTTATCTTCTATGTATCACTTTACCCGTACTAATGATTTAAAGTGAGTTGTTTAAAAAATCACCTTAAGTTTATGACACCCTCTTTTTAATCTGATTGGCTATTAGGTGAGAGCCTGACCATAAACCCTGGAATAACTTGTTCTCATATTCACAACCTAAGGCAAAACATGGAAAAATCATCAAAAATACCAATTGCTCTCCGTCTAGTACTTACTAGCTTTTAAGCAATGCGTTTATCTAATTCAATCTTCCCTGTGCCTCTGGGGTTTAGAAAGGTAGATTTAGTTTTATCTTTATCTAGGAAGGAACCCAGGCTCAGAGGACATTTGTAATGTTCTACCATTGCACAGTGTGGCAATAAGTGGCAAAGCTATAATTAATGCAGGGGTCCTGAGAGTGAGATTTAGGGTGTAATGGCACTCTTCCCTGTTCCCTGCATAGGCAACAGCATGTTAACCCAGACTCAATCCAATGTGATTTCCTTCTCTATTTTCTTCAGTTCCACTTTTACTTGGGCACAAGTGCCGCAGGCTCTCTTTTAGGTCAATTATTGTTACTTCTCCATCTGCAGCATCATTCACCATTATGGCTGGTTGGTGGCTCCATATCTGAACATCTAAAACTCTCTTATTTAAAAAGTGATATGTTTTACTGTATGGAAATATCATAATTAAATCTAAACAAGTTTCAATGAATGGCTCTTAAATGGCTTCTAATAATTTGCTGTTACAAACAATGCTGCCATAAATATTCTTGTGGATAATATTTTCACACATATTTGATTATATATGTAGGCTAAGCATCATACAATAAACAATTCTCAGAGTGGTGCCCATTTATATTTATTTTTGCCTGGAAAAGTGTGCAGATAGGCCAGTCACCCTAGAATGTATTTCATTTTTAAATATATTTTTATTTTTTTAAAATGGTACATAATAATTGTACATATGTAGGAGGTATGATGTGATATCATAATACAAATATATAAGGTGCTGTAATCATCTCAAGGTTATTGGCATATATATCACTTTAATAATTCATCATTTTTTATGTTGGCAACACTCAAAATCCTGTATGCTAGCTATTGTAAAGCATGTAATTAATTGTTGTCAACCTTTGTTATCCCACTGTGTTACAGAATGTTAGAAGTTAGTCCTTCTCATCAACCATACTCCTGTACCAACTACTAACCATATTCTGTCCATACTCCCTTCCCCTACCCTTCCCAGGATCTTATAACTACTGTTCTATTTCTACTGCTACAAAAATCAAAGTTTTGGCTTCCACAAATAAGTGAGATCATGCATCATTTGTCTTTCTGTGCCTGGCTTATTTCCCATAACATAATGTTTTCCAGCTCTATGTATGTATGCAGCACAGAACATAATCTCTTCTTTTTATGACTAAATAATAAAATATATGTATGATGTGCATACATAATTATATACATATATATATGATGTGTATATATATACATATATATGATATATATATATATATATATATATATATATATATATATATATATATA